GGGGGTCTCAGGTGATCGCAGGGGGTCTCAGGTGAGCCCCCCGCCCACCTTGAGCCAGCCCACGTAGAAGAAGAACTGCAGCAAGGTGAACACGGGCACGCCCAGGTCCAGCTCGTGCCCCGCGTAACCCTGGGCGGGGTCCAGGAACTGCCGCCCGATCAGACAGGTGAGGAAAAAGGTGTACACGGCGATGGTCACCACCTGCGGGACACCTGAGATGGACCTCGGGCCTTCTGCAGCCCCCCCAGGTGTGCCCAGGGGTGTCCAGGTGTGTCCCAGGTGTCCCCAGGTGTGTCCCCAGCTGTCCCCAGGTGTCCCCAGGTGTGTCCCCAGCTGTCCCCAGGTGTCCCCAGGTGTGTCCCCAGCTGTCCCCAGGTGTCCCCAGGTGTGTCCCCAGCTGTCCCCAGGTGTCCCCAGGTGTGTCCCCAGCTGTCCCCAGGTGTCCCCAGGTGTGTCCCCAGCTGTCCCCAGGTGTCCCCAGGTGTGTCCCCAGCTGTCCCCAGGTGTCCCCAGGTGTGTCCCCAGCTGTCCCCAGGTGTCCCCAGGTGTGTCCCCAGCTGTCCCCAGGTGTCCCCAGGTGTGTCCCCAGCTGTCCCCAGGTGTCCCCAGGTGTGTCCCCAGCTGTCCCCAGGTGTCCCCAGGTGTGTCCCCAGCTGTCCCCAGGTGTCCCCAGGTGTGTCCCCAGCTGGCCCCAGGTGTCCCCAGGTGTCCCAGGTGTCCCTCACCTGTGTGTACACCAGCGGGACGCTGATCCAGTCATAGTGGAACAGGAGGCTGCAGTGGGCCCGGAACCGGTTCAGCTCCTGGGGGGTCCCGGGGGGCTCAGGGGGGGTCCCCAGAGGGGATGGGGGAGGCTCAAGGGGGTCCCGGGGGGTCCCGGGGTGTTTCAGGGGGTCCCGGGGGGTCCCGGGGTGTTTCAGGGGGTCCCGGGGGGTCCCGGGGTGTTTCAGGGGGTCCCGGGGGGTCCCGGGGTGTTTCAGGGGGTCCCGGGGGGTCCCGGGGTGTTTCAGGGGGTCCCGGGGGGTCCCGGGGTGTTTCAGGGGGTCCCGGGGGGTCCCGGGGTGTTTCAGGGGGTCCCGGGGGGTCCCGGGGTGTTTCAGGGGGTCCCGGGGGGTCCCGGGGTGTTTCAGGGGGTCCCGGGGGGTCCCGGGGTGTTTCAGGGGGTCCCGGGGGGTCCCGGGGTGTTTCAGGGGGTCCCGGGGGGTCCCGGGGTGTTTCAGGGGGTCCCGGGGGGTCCCGGGGTGTTTCAGGGGGTCCCGGGGGGTCCCGGGGTGTTTCAGGGGGTCCCGGGGGGTCCCGGGGTGTTTCAGGGGGTCCCGGGGGGTCCCGGGGTGTTTCAGGGGGTCCCGGGGGGTCCCGGGGTGTTTCAGGGGGTCCCGGGGGGTCCCGGGGTGTTTCAGGGGGTCCCGGGGGGTCCCGGGGTGTTTCAGGGGGTCCCGGGGGGTCCCGGGGTGTTTCAGGGGGTCCCGGGGGGTCCCGGGGTGTTTCAGGGGGTCCCGGGGGGTCCCGGGGTGTTTCAGGGGGTCCCGGGGGGTCCCGGGGTGTTTCAGGGGGTCCCGGGGGGTCCCGGGGTGTTTCAGGGGGTCCCGGGGGGTCCCGGGGTGTTTCAGGGGGTCCCGGGGGGTCCCGGGGTGTTTCAGGGGGTCCCGGGGGGTCCCGGGGTGTTTCAGGGGGTCCCGGGGGGTCCCGGGGTGTTTCAGGGGGTCCCGGGGGGTCCCGGGGTGTTTCAGGGGGTCCCGGGGGGTCCCGGGGTGTTTCAGGGGGTCCCGGGGGGTCCCGGGGTGTTTCAGGGGGTCCCGGGGGGTCCCGGGGTGTTTCAGGGGGTCCCGGGGGGTCCCGGGGTGTTTCAGGGGGTCCCGGGGGGTCCCGGGGTGTTTCAGGGGGTCCCGGGGGGTCCCGGGGTGTTTCAGGGGGTCCCGGGGGGTCCCGGGGTGTTTCAGGGGGTCCCGGGGGGTCCCGGGGTGTTTCAGGGGGTCCCGGGGGGTCCCGGGGTGTTTCAGGGGGTCCCGGGGGGTCCCGGGGTGTTTCAGGGGGTCCCGGGGGGTCCCGGGGTGTTTCAGGGGGTCCCGGGGGGTTCGGGGGTACCTCCATGAGCAGTTTTAGGGCGCAGTCGTCCCTGACTCTCCCCTCTCTCCGCGCCTGCCCCGCCAGCGCCCCGAACCAGGCGCACGGAACCCAGAATTTGTTGTAGGGCGAGCGCAGCCCCTCGAGCCGGCGGCGCTCCTCGCGCGTCAGGAACCCTGCGGGGACCCCCGCCGTCACCCCAAAATCCGGGGGGACCCCAAAACCCCCGCCGTCACCCCAAAATCCGGGGGAACCCCAAAACCCCCCGTGGTCACCCCAAAATCCGGGGGGACCCCAAAACCCCCCGTGGTCACCCCAAAACCGGGGGGAACCCCAAAACCCCCCGTGACATCACCCCAAAACCGGGGGGAACCCCAAAACTCCCGGGGTCATCACCCAAACCCCTGGGGTCACCCCAAAATCCGGGGGGACCCCAAAACCCCCCGTGGTCACCCCAAAACCGGGGGAACCCCAAACCCCCCCGTGACATCATCCCAAAATCCGGGGGGACCCCAAAACCCCCCGTGACATCACCCCAAAACCGGGGTGAACCCCAAAACTCCCGGGGTCATCACCCAAACCCCCCGTGACATCATCCCAAAATCCGGGGGGACCCAAAACCCCCGGGGTCACCCCAAAACCGGGGGAAACCCCAAAACCCCCGGGGTCACCCCAAAATCCGCGGGGACCCCAAAACCCCCCGTGACATCACCCAAACCGCCACTGTCACCCCAAAACCGGGGGGAACCCCAAAACTCCCGGGGTCATCACCCAAACCCCTGGGGTAACCCCAAAATCCGGGGGGACCCAAAACCCCCAGGGTCATCCCAAACCCGGGGGGTGACACCCCAAACCCGGGGGGAACCCCAAAACTCGGGATATCACCCCAAAACCCCCGGTGACATCACCCAAACCCGGGGCTGTCACCCGAAACCGGGGCTGTCACCCC